ATGAATCATATCTCAGAAGACAATCGTCTTTAATGGCCACGGCAGTCGAAGTGACCTTAAAAACCGCAAATAAAACACTTTAATAATACTGGTTTTTAAAATAGTCTATATGAGTAAACTCAGCCTCAGTAACAAGTCTTAAACAGTTTCACAATCTAAAGAGGGTTTTGGAAAACAAATATCTGGATCTCACCGAGATTAAACCACCTTTCGTCACCTGAATTCAAAATCTGTAATCGATAATTGAAAGAACAAGGTTGATTACCAAAATCTGAATAATTTCGAAGATACAAACACAAAGTAATTTAAGGAGACTAGTTCAGCAGAAACGTAGCTCACAGTCGGTTCAGTGTAACTTAAGTCTCGGGTAAAATGTTACATAGGCACCGACTTCATCCCCTGAAAATTCCTGTAGTGGGTGGTCTGGGAGGGTGGTGATATTGTTAGGAATATATCCTATATGGCTACAGGCAATACATAATATATGCCTATATGAAAAATTACCATTTCAGGCAAGTTGAGTTGTTTCAAGTCCGTCCTGATGACAAAATGGTTTTCACTCCAAATACTTTAAACCAAAACAGTACAGTATTTTAATATATGATTCCTTTTACATTTTAGGTGAGTTACATATCGAAAATATAACACCGTTAAGCAAATTCTACTATATCCGCTACTAGATAGATACAGGACTTTGGGATGGAATTGTAATGTACACGATCGATATGTTCATGAAATTCATACTAAAGTAATTTGTTGGAGAAGCTGAGTTCCCACCACGGAAGCATTGGAAGAGGAGGGGCTTAAGCTCCCCGCGTGCTCCTGGTACTCGACGCCTATGAAATGACAAATGTAATAGTATATCCAGTTGGTAGGCAACAGTCTTTCATTACAATTTTACGCTACTTTTTACCTACATTTCATACTCATAACTTCAGACCCATCGGCTATTGCCCTTAATGTTTCATTTAATAACCTATTATCCATGATTCACGTTAGGATTATTTCTATTAAAATAGTTTAATGATACTTTTGAAAATGGACAAAATTGGTGGATGGACGAACAAGCAGTGCGGATTGACAACTTTTGCTAGTTCACATGGTCGTAAATATGATGTTCCAAGTTGTAATATGATGTTAGTTTGTCGAAAGAAATTAATTGGTAGTAAGGGAAAATTTCTAATTTATTCTGGTTTACTGAATTTATAAATTTCTCAATCAATCATATGTTTTTCGTTTTATTATCAATTTTTTTATATTTAAAAAATAAGTATATGTAAGTGTGTGAAGAACCACTTTTTGCAACAGACTGTACAATAACAGAAGAAACACATCCCGCTTGCATTAAAAAATAAAATACCTTAAAAACAAATACGGCCTCGGAATCTAAATATAAAGTACATTCTCTTCTCCTCAGGCTGCAAATCATTTACACCTCCTATTCTGCGAATCCAATAATCCTCAAACCGAAAGAATATGATCACCCAGTTCATAAATAAAGAGAAATTAATCCTTCACCTCAAGAGTGCTGATGGACCATGTACAAAAGAAATAGGAACCAATCTTCCACACTTTCTCCTCGTTCTTCTTCTTCATCATTGGATATTTCTTCAACTATTAACTGTTATAGAGTTTATATATTATAGCTTTATGAACCAGAAACCTTTTCTGTTTAATCTTAAATTCCTTTTCTTTGTCCCACTCTAGAATATTTCACTAAATATTCTCTCCAATTCTCTAATTAGTGTCCTTATTGGAATCTTTTCTATGGCTAAACCTTAATCACTCCTTCTGGAGCTCCAATGCTTAAACTCAAAAATGAATCAGAATGACGCTTTGTCAAATTATAATGTTAAAAACAAAAGAAAAGAAATAAAATTCAAGCTGTAAGGATACGAAACATACATAAGTAATCATTCAGAGCACAAGGAAATGCTGCAATAATTTTGAACGAATTTTTAAACAACCGCGTTTTCTGACATAAATCCCCTTCTTTATGCTAATATTTCATTACAATTCTCGAAATTCCAACTTACGGTAATCTTATTCTATACTACCCACACGAACGAAATGCAAAATATTTTATCAACAATGGGAACACATTTGTATGAGGTGGAGGGAGACTTTAATGCTACGGACAAAAGTCGAAGCCGTCAAGTTAAGAAGTTATACAAAAATAATACTAATATGCATAAAGGATCTAAAACTTCTCCTATCTCAACCTACATATAGATCTGCTTATCATTGTAGTCTTCTAATATTATTTATTTGTCGCATTTATTGCTCTTTACAACATTTGCCCTCTTTCGGAACTCAAATGATTTCGTCTAATTTTACCTCATCTATCAAACCAATCTTTCACAAAATCACCATCTTCGACGCTATCCAATGACTGCTTAGACTGGAACTATTTTAAAATTATTTGAACTAGAAAATTAAGGTATGGACGATCTTTACATGCCTTACCAAAACAAAGTGTAGTAGGAGATCCATGATTTATTTTGGGTGGAGGATTCATCCTTGAGCTTTTGTATATATTATTATATGTATATTACTAATTGTCTAAATAAAATGTATTTATAAATATAAAAAAATTCAAAATTATCTTTTTTCAGGTAAAGTAGTAATGGAATCTTCTCCCAGATCTCCGTTTTAGGAATTGATAATTATTTGCCAGTGACGAACTTGATTTTAATTTTAATTTTAATCTATTTTCTAATTAAAGAAACCTATTGATCGCTTCATCTATTTTCATGACAACATAAATATTAGGGCTAGAAATGTTATTTTGTCACTTATAAATAGCATCAATCCCTATGACAGAAATCTGGGAGAGAAAAACAATTTCATAACCACCTTACATAAAAAAATATTTGAAAAATCAATTTAGGCAATCATGTTTATTACAATACATCCCATAACACGGAAAAACAACAAGTAAAAGCTTTTCAACAATTAATTATAGTCATTTTTGTTGAAAACACGTGGGCTTTAAGGTGACTGGATAGAAAATCACATCATTTGTTTACACAACTTTAAATGATTTTCAATATTTTCCCCAAAAACCTCAAGTTATTTAATATGGACTTGAAGGGGATCAAACGAGGAAGTTTTTCTAATAGTGGGATAAATGTAGTATAGTTGAAGAGTGATAAAAAAATCAAAAATAATTTATGACTTTTTTTAAACAGAACTTAGCTGTTTGTCCGCTCAATAGTCCTATTTAAATAGTTTTAACAATGACAAACATTCATTTAAAGTAAATTTTGTCTAGTTTACTATGGAGCAATTGCTTCAATTGCTTAAATAAAATATTGTTTTAAGCTATCGCTTCCTATTCAACAAAAAACAAGAAGCATAAAAAAACACAAATTGTTTTTATGAACTTTTTTGTAGATCTTGATTTCTACTGTCCTAATTATCATTATCTTTAGTAAATTTAATCACTGTTTAATCACTCAAAAACATTTTGTCTACTTACAATGTAGCACTTAGAATTTAATTATCTTGAACAGTGTTTGAGCGATTCATTCTTATTCAATAAAACAAGTGACCACCTAGAGAAAAACACAAAATTGGTCTTAACTTTTAATGAACTTTTTTGTTGTATATTTTGTCTAGAATCATCCAGCAGAGTTTGGGCATTAAGAACCCCATTCTTCCAGGAGATCCGCCTGTAACAAAATGGTATTAGACTAGCATTTCGTCTGGCAGCCTGCATATTGATCTCAGTATATCATTTTGGGGCCCCTCTATGATCTCAAATAAATTAAAAACAGGATAGTTATTAAGCAATATTATTATTTTTAAAACTTATTTCGTCCTTAATGGGGACGTTTCCTCTGTACCCATGGAGTCCATCTTATCCTATTTTGGTTTGATTTCGGGAAGTATTAATATAAGGGAGGTACAAGCAGCTAAAGATGACAGAATTATGTGTCATGCCAATTGGTTACATTAGAAAATCCAAATAAAAATACCAATTTGGATATTGGATACCAATACCATTTAGATTTCGATACCAATTGGATAATTTGGAAATACCAATAGCCAATACCATAGCAGGAACCATCCTGCTCAATTCCAAATAAGCATGTGTTTGTCATATGTTTGTCTGTATGTGAAGATTTTTTTTTTTTTAGCTTATTAACTTTTTACATCTTTCATCAGATCCTATGAATGGTTCTTATATATTAAATTTGTACTTAATAAACTAAAAAGTCATGAAAATTATTTCTTAGAATTTGTTATTTGTATTATAGTCTAGTTAGTCCATATTTTGTTCCATACGGATGGATGGCTCTATTGTCTTGGATCACCTTTAGGATCAAATTGGAGCCGAGACACCAAACAAATCATGTAAGGAGATATTTCTTCAATTATGGAAGTTTTCACAGTCACAATTTATGTTCTATCCAAAATAATCCATAAATCCATTTCTAGGTAAATTTATAAAACCTCAAACTGTGAAACACCTGGTAGAATGTCCCCAATTCGAAAATCACAGAAAAAAAAATAGATCTAGGAAAAACACTAAAAGACATTCTACAAGATAATGAAGAACGAGTCTCTATTGTTTTTAAATTTTTGAATATTATAAATTACTATAATAGAATATAAATTATAGAAAGCGCCAATGACTCTTTAGGGTAGAGACAAGAAAAAGAGAAAAAAAAAATATTGACTAATTTCAAGGCCATTTATTATTTGATTATGATAAATATAATTTTTCTAATAAAAAACAAAACAAAAAAACATCAGGTATACATAAAGAAAACACATTCATAAAAATGTTTCTTATTTTTACAAACAAGCTTATAATGAATATATATTGATTATTATCACATTTTCATTATTATACTCTAGTCGTTATTTTCAGTCGTATTTCTTTTCCATTATTCCATTATTTTTCTTATTTCATTACTTTCATCAGATTCAAAGGAGGACTCTTATACATTATATTTGTACTTAATAAACTCAAAAACTATGAAGATTATTTCTTAAAATATGTAATTTGTTTCATAGTCTCCAAAATTAGTCCACATGTTGTTCCATAGTCTTGGATCACCTTTAGGATCTAATGGGAGGTTTCCTGGTGGTACAGCAGTGCTATTGTATTCATCAAGCTTGTCTAACAGCTCTTTTAGCTTTAATGGATACCTATACAGATGTTTATAATTCAATTTATTGAAGTTTATTGCAAAAAACCTTATTGTAACAAAATATTTGATATCACATTCATAAATTAATGCATTATTTGGAAATGATTACTGTAGATTGGCTTCGTGTATTCTTTGAACTTCTTTCTCAAATAGGTACTTTTGAAAATTTATTTGAAACTTTTATCTTTTTTAAAACTGCATTTAAATTTTAATAAATACTAATGAGTTTTGATGAAAAGTCAAACAAAATCAATTAATTACAAACCTTCAGAATATATATCTATTACCTTTACGAGTTTCAATAAAAATTATCCTAACATTTCGAGAATATTTAAGTTACAATTGAATTCAGACAAGGGCAATAAAATTTATAATATACAAAGCAGATCTTAAAAAGAAAAATACCATTTATTTGCAAAAATATTTATTGATAGATAAAGAGGGACAAATTTGGCAAGTGTGCGTTTTGGTCCTTTTTGCCATGCAACAATATTTAAACCATAAAATCAACAAATACTTATTACGGAAATTTGTTTGAAGATTGTTGATAAAAATATTAAATAATTAACAAATTTCATTAAAATTAACAAGTTTGATCCAAAATGTTTGAATAATTGCAACAATATTTAAACCGAAAAATTTTGAATCTTACTTACTATGAATGAAACTAATTAATTGTTTAATTTTGAAATTAATTAATTTTAAAAAGTACCTTTATATAAGTTTTTTATTAGTATTAGTGTTTTAACAGTTCATAAAAATTCAGTCGATATAACAATTTAATAGTTAAATTAGTTGTTTAATACTAATTACTTACTCTTTGGCTACATTATTAAATTCACAGGGGTCATCAATGACATTAAAGAGGCATGGACTCATCAGCGGATCACATTCAGTAAATGATGAATCAAAGAAACATTTTACTTCAGATTGCTTTCTCAACATTTTTATCTAAAATAAATGTTAAAAATGAAAAAAAAATAAAAACAAAACATACACAATAATTTCAATTTTCATGAAATAAAAATCCTTACAGCATGCTGATTCAGCGACTTACTATACCAAGACAAAGACCTTCCAGCTGGGGAATGAATAATAGACCAAGTGTCGTAATCAGTTCCATCTTCACGCCCAGAGGGGCCGTACCATCCATCCCATTCTCTATTATAATTTGTACCTACAAAGAGTAATTACAAGTAAAAAATAAATAAATTTAATTAAATATCATTTATTTTTCATATCAAACTTTTCATAAGCATATCTTAATCATCAAATAGATTTGTTTCAAACATTGTTTTAAAAATACATTAAACAATGTTCAATCTGCTTCAACTTAAAAAATTAATAAGTAAAAGGAAAAATCTAATAAAGACAATTTAAAAAAAAAATTGTACTACTATATTGTATTCAGTAATTTTCGAGTACTATTTCCTAGACAAGGGTTGTGCAAAGAGTTAATTTGAAGATCATGCTCAACTGTGAGGTTTTTCCTTTAATGAATAAATATACTTCTAATAAATACCTAGTTCTGCCAGAAATACTGTTACAAAAGTTGAACTTTGTTTACATCGTTGGGTATTATTTAGATAGCCTTTAGCTTTATCAGATTATTTTCTTTACATGTCAGGATAATAATCCCAATTAGCTTGTATTTTTCTTTCGCTCAGTTAACATAAAGTGGTGTGATAAAGAAAACCGAATAATTGTGATCACCTTACTCAAAGTTGGAAAATGTAAATCAGAGATTTACAACACTTTGAAACCTTTAGGTATGAGGCATATGTTCGTGTATCGCACTATAAATGGATATAATGAGACCCTATCTGTAGGTACAGGCTTCAACTGTGACAGACTTCAACCTGGCCTTTCCCGTACTCTGAGAACGGCAAATGCAGTAAGAGCAGTGGCTGCTCAAAGCAGAAGAAATCCCATTTGAAAACAACAAATCATTTCTCAGAAGGGAATCTCTGTCAGATCAATGTCTCTCATAATAAAAAATGACCTTAGGATGAGCGCATTCCGAAGAATGACAGGACAAAGGCTAACTACTTCTCTAAAAAAATTAGAATGGATAGATGCAAAGTGCTCCTTGGCCATTACACCAATGGTCTTCATTGAAAATGTTTAAAATTGAAGACAAATTTAATCGCCAAAATGATCGTGTACACACAAAGCTCTGAAGAAGTCCAGGAAGTCATTGGAAGAGTGAAAAGAGGTCATCTCACCTTTCCTCAACAATGATTTAGAGGAGAGTTAGCTTTGATAGCACCACAAAGCTCCATTTTTGTAAAAAAAAGAAGTTAAAACAGCTGCTAAAATCTATCAGGACAATATTTTGGAACCTATTGTCAAGCCTCTAAATGATATTCTGTTTGCTGGAAGTCATTGGGTTTTCCAGCACAATTCTGCACCAGCTCACAGAGCTAGGTGAACTCAGCAGTAGCTGCAAAAGAACTCAGCAGTAGCTGCAAAAGAACATTCCAGAGTTCATCTTTGCCTCAGATTGGCCCTCAGGAAGCCCTGATCTCAACCCACTAGATTATCGGCTTTGGTCTGTACTGGAGAGAATGGCATGGCACAGAGCACACCCTAACTCAGGAAGTCTCAAACAATCTCCGGTCCCAGCAGTTGAGCGCTTTCCTCAAGAAGTGCTGTGTGCTGTTATTGATGACAAGCCACGTAGATTAAATGCCTTTGTCAAGTCAAAAGAGGGACATTTTGAATAATTTCTTTTTTTTTTATACTCTCTATAGATATACAGTTTATTTTCTAATAAAGTTTATAAAAACAATTATTTTTCTGTCAAAATCTGTGTATATTTCCTTGTAACAATATTTATGACAGGACTAGGTATAAAACAGTATTAAATAATATTATTCTATACAAATGAATGACTAACCGTTAACTACTTTCCAATCACCAACAGTGAGAGCTGAACTACCCCAAATATCATCAATATTATGTAGCACTTCACTTCTGTTTGATGGGGTATTTTCACTTAGTGATTCCCACATATCAATTCCATCAATATCGCTCAAGTTTCTGTGAAATAATAATTTTACATGATTTATTAATCAATAAAATAATATTTATTAAAAATAAATAGTCTATCAATAACATTTTATTAACATATTTTAAGAAATACATTCACATGCCGCCATTCTATCGTTATAGATGGTGTTACACTTATTCTCAAATCTAATAAATAAAAATAAATAAAAAAAATCTCTACCACTGTAACCCTTGAATGGCCTTTGGGTTCAGTACTTTGTAAGAAAGTATTATTCCTTGGTCAATAGTTGTGCAAGGATTTGATTTTAACTAAGATCAACCTCAACTGCCAGATTTCCTCCTAACTTAATTATCTAATTAAGAGTTCCCACTTTATAAAGACTGGATTGTATTCCAAGAGGACCTCCCTTGTGGCCCATGGTCAAAGCAAAGCGGATGAAGCAGAATAAATTCAGGATTCAAACGTGAGACCTTAAGAATTGGAAATCAGCTCCCTACCACTGAGCTACCCCATTCCCAAGAGGGTTAAGTGATTATAGAGAATAATAATAACAAAAATAATAATCACAAAATAGGTGAATACATTGTTTTTATGCTGTACCACTACAACCCAAGAAGGGTCTTGGGTTTAGTACTATTTAGGGATAGCACTGTTTCTATGCCAACGGTTGTGTAAGGAGGTGATTTGACCGAGATCACACTCAACCGCTAGGTTTTCCCCCTTAATTAATTATAGGTAAATAAAATACTTTAAATAGTTTTTTTTTCTGATAATAGTCTTTAATATTGGCTAAAACAATTAAAAAAAATAATAATTATTTTTTCAAATAGTTTAACCTTCAATTTAAAAAAAAAGTGTTGGTTTTAATGTACATTTTAATTCATATATTTTTACAAATATGATTTTGTTTTCATTACATCTAAATAAATAAAATAATATATAATTTAATTATTTCAAAGACTAGATGTTAATTAAATGAAGTTGTTTTATTCTTATATTGGTTTCATATGAAACTTATAAAAACATTTTTATATATAATAAAAACTGGGAAGCATTTTTAGTATTACCCGATCAGTATAACATCAAGATATTTTTTAAATTAAAAATTAATTTATGATAAAAAAAAATATATAAATAACAAAATCTATATACTTACCCTGCATTACCACCTGCTGCTGATACTAAAGTGGGGAGCCAATCTGTTATATGCATTGTTTGGTTTGACACCCTTGACATGTTTCTTAGGTAGCGACTCCACACAACACCCACCCCTCTTACTCCTCCTTCCCATAGCGTGTTCTTTACCTAATAATACATTATCTACAAATAATTTTGAGTTATCTCTTGTCATATTTTTATTCTACCTCATATTTTGTAAAATTAAGTTACTAATTTTAATCATGTTTAACACATAAATAAATAAGAATAATGCTTATAATATAATCCTTGGACCAGATTTTGTTTACTTTAAAAAGCTGAATACAACTTAGCTACAATACATACAATTTAGCAAAGATACGGCAGAAAAACATGGAAGGTAACTCAAATAGTATTGTCCATTTTCTATTAAAAAAAATATATATGAATATATTGTTTTCTCTTTTCTACAAATCTGGATTTAGGAAAGTCTACAACCCAAATGGTCTTCTTAATTTTCATGGCTTATAGGGCAGTTTTATTTTTGAACGAAAATGGTCATTTGTTATTAGTAGTATGGCAAGAATTTTTGAGGCTTTGGGTGAAGTCTTGAGCGAGGTACCATTGGGTGAAGATGGGTAGGATGTAATCCTTTTCATTGAACAAAAATGTTTGTAATTCTCTACTTTCATAAATATATTACTTTCCAAATAAATGCAACACAATAAACTGTAAATAAATAAGAACATACATTATAAATAATTAATTTTATTTAACGTCAAATGTAATTTGTCTACCGGTTAAACTAATCATTTTTCAAGTCAGCAAGGTATAATAAATAATTGAAATTTTATAGCTTTTCAATAGAAAAGGAAATTTTTACATATTGCTCATTTCCTACTAAAGCTTCATAACTCGTAAATTCAGGATTTTCAGAAAATATGCATTAGAAGTGTTAAGTACTGTACTGTTGATTTCTACAGTCATAAAATAAATAAACCATTCAACTCAAATGACTCACACTGAGAGTCACTGTTCTGAAACTAGGAATGATAAATGTTTTACTACTTCCACACTTGAAGACATTTCTCAACATCTGTTCTGAAATATCCAAATTTTGGTTACTTTCTCGTTTTATTACATAATCATTGCCATTTATAGTACTTTTTCAATTCTCAGAAATATTTCAAGGAAAGGAACAAAATTGAACCCAAAGAAGAAGGCCCTTCAGAGCCTCAAACCTGGGAAAGTTGCTCTTTGTCTCCATGTTCTTGTGCCCCTGATGTGTTATCTTTCCTTGAGCACCAGATTTTCTTTCCCACAATCCATTGAAGGGACAAATACCCACCTTACAGAGGCAGAGTGTCCTCCAGAATGAATTTAATAGTTGATAAATATAAGATGAAATGGAAAAATATACTTTATAGATAGGATTTTTTTAAAAAGTACTATGTACTAGCATTTTTTTTTTAATACAGTTATTAATAGACCATTTATACATTTAGAACATTATTTTTGTCAACAATATTAATTCAATTATTTAAGGAATATACTTACTCCTCGAAGAGGCCAATTTGATGCAGCATTGTAATTGAAGCCAGCAGCTGGGCCACCATTGTCTGTTGTAAATACAATGATGGAATTTTTGAGCATCCCTTGTCTCTCTAGCCTTTCAATTACCTTTCCTACTGACTCATCTAACTTCGTCAATATACCTAAAAATAAAAATTGAAAAATAATGTAAAAATTAATATAATAGTAAGACAAACTGTTACCATAACAAATATACAGGATGCAATGAAATGCTTTATTATTAAATAAGATATATTTTTTAAATAAACTAATTTTCATTATTTTTCATCAGCTGAATTTAATGAAAAATGTTGTTTGATGACCAGAAGGTGGCAAAGAACAATTAAATGCCTTCTGCAAACAACAGACCTCAGAGCCCACATTTAAATGCTTGTGTTCATTCATCAAAATCATTTTAACATTTGAGTCGCATTATCTCACTGAACAATAATGTAGTCAAACTACAACTGAAAGTAGAAATAAAAATCTTTCTCATTATCTCTTCTTTTGGAAGTACATTTATGATTCATTTTGTGGTGAACATTTTAATAATACGACTTAGAGCAAAAATGAAATTCTAATCACTCTCATTCCCTACTTCTGTTACAACCAAGAGATACTAAAATAATGACTATTTAGAAAATAGTGAACATTTTTTTAGGATCTAATTCTAAAGCTATAGAGAAAGATATTATGGCCAAGCTTAGTATTCACAAGTAAGAAAATTAAATAATTATGCAAGATAACCAGACTGACCCATTTTATGAGTCACTCGTCTTGATCCTCAATCTCTAGAAAATTTTGAAAAGTTACAGTAAACAAGAGGAAAAAAGAAATCCTTTTCAGTTTTGAACTTTCTTAAGATCCTCTTTTCAGCTTTATTTATTTTTTTAGTTTATTATCTCTTCAGGTAAATCTCTCCTCTTAGAGAGTGATCTCGTTTTCAAAGCCTTGAAGTATTTTTTTAATCTATAATCGTTATATAAAAAAAAGTGAAAGTAAAAATTATGAACAGTATAGTTCATAATTTCTATATTCATAAGTCTATATAAGTTCATAAGCCCATATTCATATAAAACAATTAATTATCATATGTTTTTCACATATACATTATTTATTAAATTTATAGGTTTTTCGTCACTGACCATTTCCTGATGTGACTTTATTAGTCTGACGAAATTGCAGCAAATTTTTTATAGTCCAATTAGGGTGCCATGGCAAAAAAGAAAGAAATGATTCACTGGTCTATAATATAAGACAAGGTCCAGACACTTTTTAGGTATGCAAACATAATAAGAATATCCACAATGATTTTTAGTTTTCAAAATGCCGTAATATATTACATATATATTAAATGTTAATGAATACCACAACTAACATTTATAAAACCACATATACTATCGAAGCTTGTATGTTTCTCCCCTGTTTCTCCAAACTTTTAGCCCATGGACCAAATTTAGAGCACCACTAGAGCCCATGGGTACATTGATATCTTCAGTATATCCTGCAGACCTGGTCTTGTAATTTTTTCTATAAATGACACTTCAATAGTGTAATAAACTTTTTAAGAGCAATAATTCATGCATAAAAATGTAATAACCATGTGTTTTAGTTATTTACTAAAGTTATGTATATTTAAAAGAGTATATTAAATTTTACTCTAGAGAAATACATGTCTGATATTAAATATCACTAGATTTTTGTACTGATGTGACAACTATAATCAAAACCGTCTAAGCCTTTTTGAGAAAATTGATAAAACATGTATAGTAAATACGATATAAAGTATGGCTAGTCGATTTTGGTAAAAAATGTGCTGTAACATTCCAGGCATACACCGATTTTAAATACTAAATTTCAGTTTTGTAGGAATTGTAGTTTTCGAACTTAACTGTCCATGCACAGAACCTTTTGCGAAACTTGGTTATTTTGACTGAGAGAACTGTGTACCTTCGTTGAAAATTCGGACTCCAATTTTTTTACGATCACAATACCATCATTTATTATATAGCTAAACGATAGTAAAAACGTATGAAAAAACGACTAGTAAATGGCACCAAAATATTAGATGTTGAATAACTAATTTAAAAGAACCAGTAGAAAAAATGCTCTAGGTAAAATTGTTGTTCAAGTAATGAATCCAGGTAAATAAACGGAAATGATGAAACGCCTACATTTTAATGAAATCTGTAAATGTAATTCGCAAGAGAATTTAAAATTTGTTTAAGATATGTGTAAATTTGTATAAATATGTAAGGCCATAACTAAGTTGTCTTATCAAAACTCAATAATTTCACCACAAATTATTAAATAGTTTGTCTAATTAACTTGCTTCCATAGGTGTGTATCATGATAACGATTACGGACACGTATATAAGAAATGTTTTTTATTATACGGATAATCTTGTATATAACCATTGTCATTATGTCATTTTTTTATCAAAGAAAAAATAAAATTTCAGATTTAATTTGTATAATTAGAATGATAAATTAATAGTCATGTAGATGTAGTTTACATAATGGCATTTGTATTGTCGACCACCCTCCTGTTAAAAGAAAATATCAATATAGTTGAAAAAAAAGCATTGCGAAATGTTCTCGTAATCTCACTTGAATATCCTTTCAAGCGCCCTTGGCCTTTCGTTCTCACTCTCAACGGAACCAAATCCAACTAAGACATTACGGAACAAAGCAGCAGCTTTATTATATATATATATATATATATTAAAACTAATTGCATCTTTTAAACAAATATTTCGATAATTTAAGCTGCACATAAGTGAAGGTGAAGTTCATCAATGGAATTTCTTTCGCATGAAAAGTGTTAAATGTGAAAAAGGCATGCATTAAAACATGGTCTATAAGCATCCCTTTTCGTTCTACAGAATAAATATGGATAGCTAAATTGGAGGCTTTGAGATAGTATCAGGCAAAAACGGTAACATTATTAAATCTGTAAAAAAGAAACTAGAACTTACTGCAAATTGTAAGGCAATGTTTCATTAGGAGAAAAACAAGCAGATTATAACTCTTTTTTCAAAGAGAAGTTTAGACGATTTCAACGATAAACGATTTCAAGGATATCCATTAAGGAGATATAGCTATAATGTCTTTAATTGTTTAAGTCGGATCGATAACCCTCACTGCATCTTTTATTATACCGTTATAATACTATATAGAACCAGAAATACACAATTATTTCCAAATATGAAATGGAAGTAATAGAATATTATACATGTTATTACATTCAAAATTTTATGTTCACATCCATCCCAAATCAGCTCTTATACCCTATAGTCTCATGTTGACGAGGTACATCCGGGGCTTTACACGGCCAATTAGTCCGCTAGGCATTTAATCTGCCCATGATAGTAGGTGGAATTTTCTTTTTCTTCTTGCCTCGCTTAAAACTAACAGCAGAATCAATTCTCAATCAGAGGAACTGGTTATTCAGTATGGAAAACAAGATATAAATACGAATTTAAGAATAAATGAATTGGATAATTCACACAATGTTAGTGTGCTGTTTCATACTGGTTTGCCTCGACTTGTCCACGTTCTGTTTGACTAATCTTATCTACGACGACCTTTTATCCTCTCTGACTGCTTTGTTAGCCATTTCACTTTCCGCGATGCCTATCGCTTTTTTTCTTTCTCCCTTTTTTCGCTCGCTTTTTAGGCTATGTGAGTTTTTACCGATCCAGGGGAGAGTGCGGGGTATTAATATCAGAGTATAATAATATAAAATATAATGATGATAATAAAGTACAATAATCTAAATTTCTCCGGGTGAACTCGTAATCTTCAGTTTTCATCAGGTAACGCGTATTTTATGCTAGCGTTAGTCTACTCGACCACTCTGTCCCCTAAAGGGCCGAGATGCTCAGTGCACAGTGGGCTAATTTAATTGATCCAAGTGCATTCAGCCTCTGGGATGTGTTATGATAGTTCGGTATGTATGGTACTCCTAATTCAGCTCATATACTCAAGATAAGACTTGTCATAAAGGAAGCTGATGCGATTCGGATTTCGGTGTTCTGTTCCGAAATTGGCCACACTCTCAGAATGAACAGAGCTGTTTGTGCGAAAATGCTTTTCAAATCCCGGCGAGTGGTGGGGGCAGATTAGAAGATCTAAAAGATAACACTTAATCCACAAGAGCTGCCTGTTTCTTGGTCCCATTCCACCACTCGTAGGCACCGAGACAGCACCAAAATCAGCACTTGAGGGGCCTCAGGTAATGAAGAGATGTAAACTGGCATAAAGATGGTAAGCTACTTTGGCACAATCAGTATAATCTACCGATCCATTACAGTCCACTGCATTAAAGTAGAATGTTGCCTATTGAGAACTCATGAGAGTTATTTGCCTTGACTTAATTAAAAATTGGAAAAGTTGCATAAACAAGAGCTAATTACAAAGCTACACCATATTAAATTCTTATGTATTCTAAGGATTGTTATTCTGTCTGCTTTCCTTGGTATTTGACAGAGAACCTTCACAATTTTCATTTTAACACAAATTTCTCTTTCAGAGTATTAATGCGAATTCCATGATAGTGTCATTTTGAACAACAATCCTAAAAATTTCCAGTTATCTTTAAGTGGTAGAAGTTTCTCCATATAGTGATTTCTACAAAGGCGATGTTCTTGGATAAATGTTTCGGCGGAAAAATTCAACGTCTGTCAACAGTTTATCTTTTAATTCTTCACAGGAATTTCTCTCTTAGAGTACTAATGTGACTCTTCCATGATAGAAGCCTTTAGAACAACAACTCTAAAACTTGACAGATATTTCTAAGTGGTAAAACTTTCTCCCTATACTGATTTCTGCTAAGGCGATGTTCTTCGATTAATGTTTTTGGCGAAAAAAAATGAACATCTGTCAAGAGTTTATATTTAATTCTTTAGAGCAGAGACCTCCAAATGGGCCGACGAGACGCATCCGGCTCGTCATTACTTCAATTCTGGACCGAAAAAGTTTCTTTGATTACATGGTAAAGTTTTAAAATATATTTTAAAAATATAAAATTTAGCAAATTACTCATACAAGTGGTTACTACAGCATTTATTTCATAGTTTTTTTTTTTTATCTTAGAAAGCTTATTTCTCAACTGAAGTGTCATTTATAAGATATTTTTTTCATCACAAACTGTGGCCTGTGGGATTTGGAGTTCTCAATATGGCCGGGGACCAAAACATTTGGAAACAACTGCTTTAGAGGAATTAATATCAAGCATATTTTATAAGGAACCCAGTAAAAACAATAATGAAACATCCTTGGTCAAGACTTTTCAAATTTTAAAATATTTGTACTATAATTTATGAATTTATAAATTATTATTTACAAATAATAATCAATATTTCAAATAACAGTGAAATAAATCATAAAAGTCCTCCTGGAGTTTTTAGGATAACGCTACAAACCTTGATTTATGTTACAAGCGGATATACAGGCCGCTTTCCCCCAAATTGTAAAATATAACCTTATCTATTGGAAAAAATATTAAGAAGTTATTTCTAAAAGTATTATTGTTCGTGTAATTACATTTAATAGGACTTCAAGAACCACTTATATATCATTTCATACAGGTAGTTAGTGTATTTTTTTTTCTTCTTCGAATGTGATTATCGTTTTATATATATTATATATATATATATATATATATATATATATATAAAGCTGAAGCTTCTCCCCAAAAAATTAAAACCTGTATCCGCTAGTGATTTGTGTTAAGATTCATATACCAAGGGCAAATATCTAGATGTCTAGAAGGGCAAATGTCTAGATAGTATATAATAATAATCTAGGTTTAAGAAACGTACCTGCAAACCTCTTCCGATTGTAATCCGTGATGTTCCTGAAGGTAGCTATGAGCGAATCTGGAGCCGGAAGCAGGTTGTATGGATTGCCGGAATGCACGGCAGCGTGGGAGAGATAGAGGAAGAGAGGCTGGCTGATATTATGGTCTTCGATGACCCTGACGGCTTCGTCGGTGAAGAGGTCGGTACTGTAGCGCCCGTGGAGTTCGACCGCGGGGTCCATGCCTCGCCGCATGTCCAGGCCCCACATGCCCTGGAAAATAGAATCATCATCTGGAAGATTTGTCAAAATGGTTTAGTATATAAGATAACTGCATCAGCCGTAAATACATTGACTGTACAGATTAGAGCAGTAGAGCAACAATAGAATTAGTATCGACTTCTTAGCAATTTATCTGAAGTCAAAATCCCATTAGTGATATATTATTTATATAAACATTGATTTACATATTTCTCACTTGTTTGGAAGGATAATTTCAGATGTTAATCAATATTTAATTCAGTTAATGATGCCTTTTTCAGTGACCGCCGAAGAATAAACATTAACTGGCCCTGGCGGGAATCAAACGCACAATATCCTGTCTCACTCTGGGACATTCACCCACCTCAACATGCTCAGCCATCACGTCCCCTCACTTACCACCTTACATAAATACTACAATGCCTGCTCAAATATGACTAATGAAAAAAGTCAATTCATATGACACATGTTTAGAGTAAGATTATTGTCAAATTTAAATGATCTTTCAAATAACTTTATTTTATGTCACTAAGCTAATTTTATTCTACATTTAATCCAACCCATAATTGAACCAAGATATTGTTTTTTCTGTTGTAAAGACTTGTACCAAAACCACACTATTGAACATTACTATTTGATACTATGTATTTCATCTATAAGTAAAGTAGAAATTACCTTGATCGACCAGATCAAATAACTGGAAATTCATTAACGTGAAATTTCCTTTTTGATTCATATTATTCATTCTTTCTGGCTGTAAAATTTAAATTGTACTTCTTAAATTATAAAATTGTAAATTTAAACTATTATTAAACCTAAAGAAATTGAAACATCTAATAAATCAAACATTTGACAATTGTTTCGAAAGAAAATTAGAGTATTTACTTAAAATACCTAAAATTATAACATAAAAACGCCTGCCAACTCTTCCCTTGACAATTAAATGACAAAAATGTTTTTATTTTAAAGATTTATTTTAAGTTGAGTTTCATTCGTTTCAGACCTATGTCGTGATCCGGATATATGGGAATCATGGATAGGGTTTATTGATTCCACGTTAGGATGAACGCAGAGGTGCCCATCCCCCCAAGGTCAATGACGCATGAGCCTCCGCTCTCCATCGTACCAAGATATGTTATTGCTCTCATCTTCTTAAAACAGTGCAAGCTAAAGTATAATTTTAAAAATTACAATTACACTTTCATTGGTCTGTTCTATGCTTTCCTCCTGTCTCCTGGTTTGAAACTTTTCATTTTGAAAATTCATAATCCCTTTGAAATGTGGCTCCCTCAAAAATTCAAAACCCCGTCAAATTTTGCCCTCCCCCCCATTCCTATAAAACTTTTGATGGCGCATCTTGTTCCATGAAACGCCCTTCTGGGCACCCCTGGGTTAACTTAGAACCCAGGTCAGGTTTATTTCGTAGTTAAGTATATTAAGTTTTTGATGAGCTCGATGATATTTTATAGAAATATGAAGCTGCTGAATTCAGTAAATTTATAACTGATACATCGATTTCAGAAAATATAGCACCCTGTCATATCCACTTACTCGATCACGAGAGTTTGTTTGTTTGTTTAAGTGGCTAAGAATTAAAGTAATTTTTCTAGATAAACATTTTAGCGAAATGAACAGGAATTTTAAATAAAAGTTTTGTAAAACATTTACTTAAAAAGGTGCAAGGAAAAAGTTATTGTTCCATAATATTGAAAAGAAATTGAAATCGATGATTCCAGTCTTACCGAAGCTGATTAAAAATAAAAGTTTCAATTCCATTTCGAGCCCTGTTTTTTTTTTTATCTCATAAAAATAAGGTTAATTCATTTTACCATAGATAGCAGTAGTTAGTTTATTTTAATTCTGTAATCTAGGTAAATCAGTTGGAACAGATTATGTCTATTGTCCCTGACAAGGCTTGAACATCGGATTATACATGGACTTATGATCTATTGCGAATCTGAAAAAAAAAAACCAATTTGTCAAACCGTAAAAAAATATATAAAACAACCTAAAACTGATGAACAGCAGTATTTTCAAATGAAACTAGGCTTACTATTAAGAATTTGGCAATATAAAGATGCAGAGAATATTAAGAGTTCATATGTGGTGTACTAGGTACTAGTATGCATATTCACAATTTCGAATTGTTCATTAGTTCTTAGCATAATGTTAAAGTTTTGATTTTGAGCGTCTGTTTTATTCATTTGAGAAAAACAATGAACCCAAGTAAATTTCTCTAAATGTTAGATTTGAAATAAAAAATAAATCAAATGGATATTCGTGTTTTAGCAGATATCTGAGTGTAAGAATATATTTATTTTGTAGATTCAGATTTTTAAATAGGGACAAATTTTCGAAGACGCAGGCTCATGCTTCGGGTGCCAATTTTAGATCTACCGTAAGATGGAGTAAATTTGGGACTGGGCGGGTAATTTTGGGAAAAAAATTAGTTTGTTTTGCTTCCGTGGTGGATACACATGTTGGTTCAGACTGCATGGATAGCGAAGGTACCTTGCGGTACACTATTCTTGAGGCACTCGCGAAAGTTTCATGAAAACAAGAATTTTGAAAAAAAAACAAATAACAAGAGAAACAAATAAAACCTAACTGAACAACGAGTTCTGTGAACTAGGGTTCTCAAACTACCGCTAGGTAGTAGCGCAGTACATGCATACAAAGTACGTTTTTGCAGACTGAACCAACACAGTATATCCACCTCTGAATCACCTCAAACTAAATTTTATCCACCGTCCCAAAGTTACCTATATATTTATTAAGTTTCTGTTTCTTCCTCATTTAACGAAATGTGAGGACCCTGTACGGTCATTCAGGATTGCATTCTGAGGCAGTACTGACGTTCCGATTGATCGCGTAATTTCTATTAAATTAAATTCGTGTAATCGTGTAATCCGATTGAGTACTGACGTCTGGCGGATTTCCCAAAATCCGTAAATCAAAGCTTCATTCACAAGAAGTGCAGGGGAGAATTTCATATCTCTTGTTTATAGTTTATAAATCACCTTCGGCTATTTTATTTTGAAATAGTCAAGTGGGCAATAATTTTTTTTAAAAAGTGGAAATTCACAATTTACTTATAGAAAAAATTAATCTTTGGCTATTGTGTATATTCGTCAGTTCTTTTCTCATTTTTCTCAACAAATGTATTGTTCTTGCAATACCTTTTCTTAATTTTTGTAAGTAGTAGACTTTTGTCTATTATATTTCTCTAACTTTTGTCAAAACGATTTTTAGGCACTGGGAAGCAATTATTATAACTCCATTTTCCTCTTGATGTCCAATGCTATACAGGATAATGTCAAAAAAAGCTTTTTAAATTAAATACATTATTATAAGTGGACAATGCACCAGATCCACGCTGCCTATTATCTCAATGTCAACTGAGCTAAAATGGTTAGTAATGGTTAAACGTGTAGCGTTCATCATGATTGGAGCAATCCTTGTCAGTCTTGTGACTTTCATTCATTACTGATTGTGTAAGGTCCGCTTATCCACCACAGAATCACCACAAACTAAATTTTACCCGCTGTCCCAAAGTTACCCAGCCAGTCCCAAGTACCGTGCAGTACCACCCATCTTACGGTACTGCAATTTTGAGGGAAACTGTATCTTTAGATTCCAACGAATTTTATGGTGCAACTTGATTAAAAATACATTAACGTTTAAGTTATAACTGAAAGCAAATTGTTTTTAAAAACAATTTGCGTTTGGGCGCCATCTACAAATCTGTTCTTGTTCTTGAAACTTTCACATAAATGTTAAATGTTGGAAAATGGTTAAGAAGTAACCAAAGTAATTAGTGTTACATTTATAAAAGATGAAAATGAGACTTAAAAAAATATTTTAAAACCAAAGCTAAAATAAAAATATTTTAATCTTTCTAAGACAGTTCTCGGTCCTTTTTTAAAAACAGTAGAATATAATTTAACTTGCATGGCTACTCAACTAGCCTTGGAAGTACCTTCTTGTTATCTTATTAAACGATGAGTCGCCTTTGAGTGAACTTCCGCTGCATTTTAGGTAATTCTTCTGCCACATACCAACAGTTATATCGTCACATATAACAGGAATCGTGCTGGGTTTGAATATATTTGTCTTTCTATCTTTTACATTTGTTTTTCGTATTTGAATTTTTTTTTCCTTTTAGACCAATAAAATTACATAAGGATTATATGTGCAGGATAAACGAACCTTTAAAATATATTAATTGTCAATTAATAATTGGTCGACATTTATGAATTCTAATACTAATATTGTATGAAATATCCATGAACGCAACAAATGATATCACAGTGGAAAAGTAATGTAATCATAATAGTTAAATTCGTTAACCTAATCATAGGATAGGATTTTTTTAAAACGTAAACGTAATGTAATAACGCAATTATACAAATATTGTTTAAATAACGATTTATTTCAATATGTTTATTAATTTATTTTTCAATTGTGCATTCAAAGGTGGCATTTTGAAGTCTGTAACTGATATAGGTAGTCTGCTACTATGGAAAACAGCAGAGGATAATAAAATATGAAATTATACTAATAAATCATAAAGAAATAATTAGTTTTTATGCCCTCCTGTAAATCATTCAATTTTCACATAAAATAGAAATAGAAAAATAAACTTTATTCTATGACACAGTCCCCTCAGAATACCAACAATGAACAAAATAAAAATACAAACGCTCTTTTGCGCTAACAGTAGCGATATACATACTCAGTATGTACTGGGATTTTTTTTTAATCACGAATCATCAAATACGCTATCTGTAAATGTGGAACTCTTCCGCATTTTACTATTCGCTGATGAACAAAACTCGTGGATATGAAACCTGCGAATGTTGAAGAATTACTATATATACCCGAAAACGGCTTTTCTCGGATATTTTATTCTCATACGAAAAAATATAGATATTGTTTAGATAATGAAAACGGCGAGGAATCTTACATGACAGACTTTTTTCTATTTTTTTTTTTTCTACAGTGCTACCAATGGGTAGTTTCTCAACAAGCGTGTTTCATGTGATAATATTCCTATGTACACATTTACTTGATGTATTCATACTAATACAGTTGTAAATATCATAATAATAGTTTTTTTTAAAAAATTATTTTTTTTTTTTGTCACTTATCTTATAATTTATTTTAAATTTTAGAAATACCAAAACTTTTAATTATTAACAAGAATATTTTAGCAACAAATGCAAATTAATGTTTGCCTAAAGATATAGACAAACATAGTTGTAATGGGTTGGCATAAAATGTAAGTTATTCAAACAGCATTGAGCCTGAAACTTGTACACAATAGATTTTTAACATGTTGAAATTGATTGCAATTGTTTAAGGAAATCAACAGAACCCTCAATGACGTGTACAAGGAAAATAATCTAGAAATAATGCTAAGATTAGTAACAAAAAGAAAACAGGTTAAGGTTCAAGGAATTATGAAATCAGCCATTAGGTGCAGACTAGTGAAAATTACTTGGTCAACAGGATTTGGCCATATTAACTTCTATGGAAATATCCTATGCTCTATGAAAATATAACCTTGAGTATGGAAATATGTGGCTTGTTTAAATGGATAAAGAACAATCAAAACTTCTATATTTATCATTTAATGAAGATCGAGTACATGTAAGGATGTAGAGAAAGTTAGTGGATAGGATGTGTCCTACTTTAAATATAATGGTGTATATCGCCAGTTCAATTAGGCGATTTTTGGCATTTTTTAAACACCAATATCATAAGAGATAAGTAAGTTCTAAATATTGGATTTCTTACATTCTCGACAGCAGTGTGATCATTATAATCCTGATGACCAGTCCAGAAGCCAAAATGTGTGTCGAATCCTCTGAAGGTCGGAGTGTACTCTTTCTTCCAGGATCCCAAGTGCCACTTTCCGACGAGGTGCGTCTTATACCCGAGTTCTTTCAGATATTGAGGAAGCAACTTCTCTTCCAGGGGTAGCCCTCTCGGTTCGGAACCGTATATTACTGAGTGCTGCATTCCTGAAACCATTTCACATATGTTATATGTCTGGGAAAATTATATGTATTTTTATAATATCGACTCTCATACACTGGTTCACTAACCTGTATGTATTGGATGTTTGCCGGTCATTAGGGCACTTCTAGACGGGGTACAGATGGGATTGACATAGTATTTGTTCAATATGATTCCTGAGTATGCTAGAGCATCTATGTTTGGAGTTGGTATTTGACTAGATCCATGGAATCCGACATCGTTCCAGCCCTATGTAAAGCAAAATTAATAGAAACATCAATCGACTTATGACTTATATGAGTTGAGCAGGTTCTAAACAAAACGGTGAACTCATCGATAACACCATATCCGTCTGTGAACTTGGCTAAACGATCTCATCGATGAGCTCCGAGCTAAGTTCGTTTAGGAACTTGCCCGATCATTTAAATATAAGAATATCTGTAGGAAAGATACTTTAGTTTTATATATTACAACAAAACTTGGTCTATGCAAGCAATTATTTTTTTCTCAATTATCATACATTCTTAGATTCATTGCTATTATCTATCCACTAGACATTTGCGAGTAAGTGAAAATCAAGGAAATAGATGTTAATTTGATATTTGGCTTGAACGGCAGGCCATGTTGCTACGATGCCTGATAGCCAAATTCCAAAGAAGCCCCTCATTGAACAGCTATTCGGAAGAAGGCCAATTGGAAGACCCAAATGTGGCGGCAGATGCAAGATCCATCCTCAATCCAAGAGATTGAAAATCGGCTGCTTTGAATAAAAATGACTGACGACTGCTGTTAAAGGAGGCCTTGACCCCACGTGGGTTGTAGCTCCTAAGAAGAAGAAGAAGAATTTGATATTACTTCCTATTCAAAAGAAAAGCAGTGAATCGTCATGATGCTTATAGCAGTGATAATTAACTACTTCTACTTTCTTAAAACTTTTAGTTTACCTATTACTTAATATGTTCTACAAACTATGCACTACCAAATAAACTCATACAAAATGAATAGAGAAATATTTTAATTAGTATGAGGCTAAATTTAGTAATGTGAAAATAAAAAAAAATTCTAAAATGAAATTAACTTGCATTGGTGAAAAACCAGCATGATAAAATTAAAACTCAATCTTATAACTTAAAGCTTACAAAAATAAATAGGATAATATAAAGTGGGCTAGTAATTAAATTCGTATAGGCTAATTTCTTAATTTATAGCTATTTAAGAAATGACATTTTTTTTTTCTGTTAGCATTACAGACAATGTACATGGTCTATCTTCACATAACATTCCATCTTTTGCCGCCTTAAGAAGCCTGCTCCATCTCTGCCTGTCTTGGGCTATTTCCTTCCATTTATCTGCACGCAGCTCTAAAGCATGTTTGTTGATTTTATCTATCCATCTGCTTTTTGGCCTTCCACGTAGTATTTTGCCTTTTATTGAGGCACCCATTTTTACGTAGTGGCTTCCAGATTAAAAATAATTAAAATAAAATAGTTAAAAGTAAAATAATTTACATAACATGAATGAGGATAGAGATGAAAAATAAAATAATTTTAGAACATACATTTTGAAAAGGAAAAAAAAAATCCCCACGACCTAAAATGACATAAAAAAAAGTTATGATAAGACTTCGTAACAGTTTCCTTAAACGTTCTTGTTGTGTCAGAAAGAGTCGTGTTACAACTATAGAACTAACCTTTAAAAAGTCAGAGGATGGTTATGCAATACCTTAGAGAAACAGGCACAAATTGAATCAGGCCATCTAATATACCATAATGTAATGGTATATTCAATCCTATAATTGATACAATACTATGATTGATAAATAAGTAATAACCAAATACTTATATTTATATATATATATATATATATATATATATATAAATACATACACACACGGGCGGATCTACGGGGGGGAGGGGGGAGCTTTCGGGCTGAAGCGCCCCAAAATGGAAAAATATAACCATGTTTTATGAGAAAAAAATTTTGAAAATACCTCTTAAAGCATTATTGTTCGTGTAATTACATTTAAAAGTACTTAAGGAATAACTTAAACACCATTTCATATAGGTAGTTAATTTCTTTCTGTTTTTCCAAAGTAATTATCGTTATTTTTATGAAAAAAAAAAGGTTTCGGGCTGAAGCCCCCCCAAAATTAAATCCTGGATCCGCTAGTGATGTTACGTTATATGTATAATTGTTTGGAAATAATATACCATAGAGAAATAATTTGCAGTGGTTTTTTTCAAAATAATTATCGTTATATATATATATATATATATATATATATATATATATATATATATATATATATATATATGTATAAATCTTTCGGTCTCCCCCAAAATTAAATCTGGATTCGGTAATGTATATCACTATTATTAGAGCTTAAGTTCGTATGTAAAAATTTTCAACTTTAATTCTATGTGTATTAAAGGTGATATTTTGTAGTCTGCAACTGATACAAGTAGTCTTCTACTATGGAAAATCGCAGATGACAATAAAATATGAAATTATTCTAATAAAGCATAAAGAAATATTGAGTTTTTATGCAATCTTGTAAAACAATAAATAAATTGATACATAAGACCTTTTGCACTAACAGTATTGAAATTCATGTTCAGTATGTATTTTCTTTTTTTTTTTTTTTTTTTATTAGGCATAATCAAGTATGGAATCTTCAAATACGACACTCTTTTCTTGAATGTTGAAGGGTAACTGTAATCGGCTATTCCGATTCTGCTTCTCTCAGAGATTTTATTCTCATACGAAAAATTGTATACCTTGTAATATACAACGGAAACGGTGAGGAAGCTATACTGACCTTACTTGGCAGACGTTTTTTTATTTAGAACAAAACTTTGATAAAAGTCTAAAGGTTTAAGGTTTAATATTTTATAAATTTGTGATCAGATTTGAACAAGGTGATTTAATAGAATCTTTCGTTTTAAAAAATCGCCTAACTGGAGATTACTACTTAGATTTTCACGTTTTACAAGGTCGATCAGAGGATATTGCTTTAAACATTAGAATGCTGATCCACGTTCAGCACGACGGAATTCCCACTCATTTCGCTTTTCAGCCAATTTGGATGAACGCTTTCCAGATCGTTGGATTGGTACCCCCGAACTGTACTGGATTACTGAAGTACTGGATTATTGTTAAAGAGGCTAACTCAAAGATGATGTATACAAATTAAAAGTAGACACTCGGGGTGCACTAAGTAGAGCGAAATATTCAGAAATTTGATTGTAGACGTCAAGATCTACAAAAACGTTCCTATAAACAATTGCCTAATTTCCAGCAGAAAAGTGGGTAATTTAATATTTGTGTTTTTTTTTAGCAAGTCACGTTTTTTGTTGAATAGGAAGCGATAACTTAAAAAATATTCGATTTAAGTAACCAAACGTTGCTCCATAATAAACTAGACAAAATTTATTTAAATTAAAGTAGAGTTTGTCATTGTTAAAATTATTTAAAGAGGTTAATTAAGCCGCTAAACTAAGCTGTGTTTTTAAAAAAATCTGAAATCATTACCTTTTATCATTATCAAACTATTCTACAGTCGCCTCTCTTTAAAAAAAACTTACTCATTAATTAATCTTTGAGTCTATGCTAATTAAATTGAGGTTGATTAGGAAAAAATTGTATAAAAAAATGATATAATTTTTATCCTGTCACTAATAGGTACTCGTGTTTTCTGCAAAAATGATTACAATCAACTGTTTCAAAGCTTTTATTTCTTGTTTTTTCCGTGTTATGGGATGTATTGTAATTAAAATAACTGCCTAAAAACACATTTAAAGTTTAAAAATAATGATTTTTCACGTAAAGTGGTTATGAAACCGTGATATTCACCCAGATCTGTATCATAGGAATTGATATATCAGCGACAAACTTAATGTTTGTTACTGAAATTCACGAAAATAACGAAAACCTATTATTTTCATAAAAACATTAATTTTGTCTTTAATAAATAACCATAAATTCCTATGACAGAAATTTGAGAAGAAACTCAATTTCATAACCACCTTACATGAAAAATCATAATTTTTAATTTTTAAAAAATAAAATGTGATTTAGGTAATTACGTTTATTACAATACAACCCATATCACGGAAAAACCAGAAATAAAATCTTTACAACAGTTGAATGTAGCTATTTTTGCTGAAAACACAGGTACTTTTAGGTGACTATATAAAAAAATCACATCATGCTTTTAGACGTTTTGAAATGATTTACAAAAATTTTCCTAATATAACTCAATTTAATTTATATGGACTTGAAGCTTATTTAACGAGGAAGTTTTCCTAAAAGTGATGTAAATTTAGTTCAATTAATGAGTGATAAAAAAAAATCACTAATAATTTATGATGTTTTATCAAACAGAACTTAGCAGTTTTTGTTCGCTATATAGTCCTCTTTAAATAGTTTTAACACTGGCAAACTCTATTCTTGTTTAAAGTAAATTTTGTCTACTTAACTATGAAGCAATTTAGTTATTTAGTTTAGTTATTTAAATCAAATATGTTTTGAGACATCGCTTCCTATTCAACAAAAAACATGTTTCGCTTAATATTCCTTTAAAAAAAAACATTTCAAATATTTCCTTCTACTTACGGGACACCCTGTTTATGAATCAATACATTATAACTCACCAAATCGTCGGCGACAATGAAGATGATGTGAGGCCTGTCCTTTTGACCGAGGACATAGTTGAATGCTTGGCTGAGCAGGAAGAGGTAGAGAAGTGCCATCACTGAGCACTCGCCTCCTAGCATTGAACCATCATCTTTCTTCTTTCCTTTTCCTGAAAGTTACAATGGTTCTTAGTAGCTCTTAATACCAATAAGAATATTACATCAAGAGGAAGATGATATGGCTTAATGTCATGGATTAATGTAACCAATCGATCAAATGTGAGTTGCCAAACGAAGAAAGATGATAACACAATTATGTACTATTTCTTATAATATTTTTTTTTTAAGAACTCATATTTTACAAAAACATACAGTATTAAAAATAGATCATTTATGACTCAAGAGTGTTTTCATAATTATCGGTCTTCCAAGGACGTTGAGTGCACCCGGACTTTCCTTTTTAACAGGGCCTTAGTTCACAAGAGAATATTCTATAGTCAAAGCGATTTATTCTATTCAATTTCGACAATTTAAGTAATTTAATTTTAACAGGATATTGACAAATCTATTAATTTTAATACGATGAATCAACAGCGAAATTTAAATTACAAGATTCGTCGTAAAAATATATAATAATGATAAATATACGCACACCAAGGCTATTTAAAAATTGAAAATGGTTTCGAAAATAATCTATTATAGTTTCAAACTTGAATTTAATGATGTAGAAAAATCATATTTCTTTGTGACATTTCAAAGATCTTCAAAAGAACTAGTACCGCGTAATAGTCAATGTTCCACTTATAAAATGCTTCATGGAGTTGGAACAACGGCACATTTCATCTGAGCGCCTGGGCATATAGGCATTAAGGGAAACGAAATGGCTGATAGAGCAGCAAAAGAACCTCTTATTCTTCCAGGCCGCGGTAAAGCTTTTCTGACACCGTCTGAACTTGCACGACCTCTAAGAGAAACCATATCTCAAGAATAGCAAAGACGGTGGGACAACAGCGCACCTAGCAAATTAAAGACAATAAAGAAAGAGTTGCAACCGTGGACCAGCTCCAGACGCAGCAGTCGTAGAGAAGAGGTCGTCCTCACGCGGCTGAGGATCGGACATACTAGACTGACACCTCTCATAAAAAAAGATCGTATCCCCCGATATCAAAAGTGTGATCACTCATTAACTATAAAACATATTTTAGAAGAGTGCTCTTTTTATACCGCAAGGTTAAAATATCTCGGAATACTCCAGAATATATCAGCATCCCTGGGAAATCAAGAAGAAATCCTTACCAAAGTTATAAAGTTCCTAGACAATGAAAAAATTATAAAACATATATGACAAGTTTATAACTAATGATCCTTTGCAGATTTATTTATTTTAAAAGTTCATTAATTTATTAATTTCAATTCATTTATTGATTTTATTGCAATTGTTTTTTAGTTCATTTATTTATTTATTTATTCTATCTTATTATCTATAAGTGTCTATTATTATCATTATTTATTTATTCTATTCTATTAATTCTTTTATTTTATTTTTTTATCCTTTTTTTAATTTTTATTTGTTGTACCAACCACCTGAACAGTATAAAAGTAGTGTTATTTATTTGAATCAACGCTGATGACCTAGATGTTTTGCGCCTAGACACCGAAACAAACAAACATAGTTCCACTAGAATTGCAATACCACTTCATTTATTTGTGATTAATTTACAAAATTGAAGTAAATCTGGTTCATTATTGTAAATAATAAACTAAAACACTTACTAAGTTTAACGTTTACTGATTGTAAGTCTAATATGCTTACAATCATTGATAATGATTGTCCTATTTTACTTCTTTTTTCTTTCCCTTACCTATATATGTAATGTATGGTAATGGAAAGTATTGCGATCGAGAAAATTTTCGATTCCGAGTTTTTGACGGAAATTCGCCAGTTCCTCTTAGTCCAAATAACCAAGACCCACAAAATAGTCTGTGCATGTTTGTAAACAGCCTAGCTCAAAAACGAAAGTCGTACAAAACTGCTATTACGCATTTTGGGTGGATATATGACTGAGATGTTACTTGAAAATTTTACATTAAACTTTTACTTGAAAATCGGCTAACCGGAAGTGCCACTTTAATCTATTTTAAACATTTTTACAATTTTCTCAAAACGGCTCTAACGATTTGGAATTAATTCATTATATCAGTTTAATATGATGTAGGTCTTATTCCCATTTATGTTCTCTAACAGGGATTAAATGCCTAATTTTCAAAATTTCTTTTATTTTTCAAAACATACTGTTGACTAATAAAATTGTGAAATTTATTAGCTGTTCATCCTAAAAATCAAACCAGTGCGCTTTATTGGCTATGAATTCTCTATGTTTTTTTTATTATGTTTACTCATATTTTCTCACTATATTTATAATTCTTCTCTCATGAATTGTTCCATAAATCTATTCACTTTCGATCTTTGGTCTTTTTGTTCTCTCAAATTACTGACTGACAGCCGAGAAAAAATATATATAGTAAACTAGTAACTAAACGGTTAATACAACTTACAATTGTAATCGTTTTAAAATAACGAGACGGATGTAAAATATAGATAGTGGATTCTGTTATTATTAGAAAACGATAGCAGTGCAATGATTGAGGATAACAACTATTTAAAATATTTGACGTGAACGAATTTCACGTTAAGAATTTCTTTCAAATTATTTGGATCCCTCAATAATTATTATTATTATAACTATTATTAGAGTATTCAATATATTAATTTCGTTTTTTGTGGTACCTAGTTAATAAGGTTGATATCAAGCAGGTTTAAATTATTGACATTTCATTTAAGTGTCACAATTGAGCATGTCTTTAGGTTCAATTTTTGAGTTAGAAAGCAAATATTCCTATTACACATTAAGTTCATTCGTACAATAGTCATCGTTTTCTCTTTCTATTAAAAAGTTAAATGCTTGATAAAACTTTTAAAATAGGACTGTAAAATAATATGACTAGATAAAAAGATTGTATTATTTTTTAGACTAGTATAGTTAACAATAAATGATTATATTACATTTCTGTTCCTTCAACAAACAATATAATGTATCAAACAATTAATAACAGAATATCAATAAACTCACTACTAAAATAATTTGCTAAACATTTTGTGCTTACTTACAGTTTATTTGAATTATATATTTATTTATTTTAGTCTATTTTTTTTAAATTTCTTTTGAGCTTCTACCCTCAAGGGTCATTACGATTTATATTTTTTGTCTATTTATATACTTATTTTAATTATTTATATATCTATTAATTATTTTAATTATTTATATATTTATTTACTGTTCAGTTTAATTATTAATGTATTTATTTATTTATTACAGAAATGTAACGTAACACTATAATTATCTTAAGCTTTTTATAGCTGCACATAACTATTGATACAGCAAAATTTTTAAGGTTCTGATTTTTCTATACTAATACACGTCCGATTTCAATGATTTATTTTTTTGGGGGGGAGGGAGTTTGAAAAGAATAGAAAATGGAGCTCACTCAAAAACATTTATTTCCTCCAACAGAAGTTATCAAAGGCGTTAGAGCCAAGTTAAAGACAGGGGAAAAACATATATATATTAATGTTGGATTGAATATTAAAATATCTTCCTGAAATCCAAAATGGAAATTTATTTGAAAATATACCAAATTAAACAAAACCTTTACTATGTATTTACTTTATTATTTATTTTATTTAATAAATTACTAATTTATTTCTTTAGATATGTTGTTTTATATTGAACTTAAGTTTGCGCTCGAAGAAGAGACAAATTTATTGGAGAGCTTTCTGTGGCAACCTACAAGACAGCTGCTTCCATTTCAACCCGTCCTGAAATCCTTCCTAAATAAATGTAATTAAGGTCTTGTAAGTAAGCAGTCATCGACGAGAAACTATTCTAGAGCTATTGCTTATTATAAGCTAATTGTTATAGGTTCTAAAATATTATCAAAGCAGTAATCTCAACCACTTTTTTCTCTATTAAACAACATTGATGTGTTACAATACCATACCAATAAAAAAGGTTACACTCAGTGTTATTAATACTAAAGCAAAATAATTTGAATTAGTGATGATTCTCACCAACATTTCAAAACATTCTTCCGCATGACGAAAATCCGTCATTTCGCAAATAAACACCAACAGCCAAATGACGAAAATCAGTCTTTTGTATATTACAAAAACAATTGACTCTTTTTCTTTTAATTCTAAATTGAGCTAGTCTATCGCTATTGTCCTTGAATGTGACAGAATGTAATGTTATTCAATACAAAAAAAAAAAGATCAAGGTATGTGCTTTAGACCACAAGATAGAAATGAAAACATCAACCAGGCGAGATTAATAATATCAAATATAAATTGTAAATAATAGCTCATCATAAAGAGGATGAAATGCTGAACATCCTCCTCGCTTACAATATGCAAGCCCGATTTTTAGTTTCTGAGATATTTTAATTTAATTGTTCAATAAAAATTCATTGTTATCATTTGGTTTTCGATACTATTTTTTTCTTTTTTACCTCCCTAACACGGCGTTGCGTTAAGATACAAATTTGAATAATAGCTCGCTTATAGTATGCAGGTCCGATTTTTAGTTTCTGAGATATTTTAATCCATATGTAAAAACATTCCATTTAGTCTGCTCAAGCCGACTTTATCCGAGCGTTAACACTTCAGAAATCTGACGGCTCAACCTAATTCACTCACCACAAAACACGACTAAAGAAGTTCACTTCAATAAATTAAATTCTAATTTTTATTAAACAGAAATAAATAGATGGAAATTTTATAATTTTGTAAATGTTGGTACAAAAAATTACCGGACAAGTATATGTTGAGACGGGAGGGTTATAAATATAGGTCCATCTTACCTGAGTGGAACCATTTTCGGTTCATCCCCTTATGTTCAGGGATCAACAAGAAAATCCTTTCCTTATAGCTGGTCCAATAATCGAGCTGATCTCCATAATTCGATCTTCTCATTTTACCTAACTTACTACACTGTCATCCCACAGGATTGCACGAACGTATTTTCTGGTACGTATTATCCCTTCATGTGTTTGGAAATTAATCTTCCTAAGAGTAGAGTTTTCTT